TTCCTGCACCGATCAACATGAAATTTGTCAGGAATGTAGATGTGTCCAATCTACACTGCACCAGCCAACGGTTTTTTGATAGACCCCATATTGGAGGGGGCTCCATCTGAAAAGGTGGGGGTCTGGACACACAAAAATGCTTATAACTCAAAAACTATTCGACATAAGAGCTTCAGAAAACAATAAATCCGTTCAGGTGAGATCTGGTGCATCAGATCTTTGCGTACATGTAGGGGTCACATGTGCTGCTGCTGTATCTAGTTTTTCTTTCATTTCGTGCCGACAGTCACAGCTCCAGTGTTGTTGGTTCGATGACCTCCGAGCAGATTTCGTTTTCTTGTTTTGCTCTCAGCAGAGTCAGAAACTCATGACTCTCTTCAATCATCTGGAAACATTTAACATCATTATTAAAATGAGGAGAAAGATGCTCCCAGGCAGGCAGGAGTTCGTCTGCCGTCTGATAAGAAGGAAGAGCCTCTCTTGTTGTTGCGTTTGCGGGAGTCTTTGTGTGCAGATGAGCCGATTCTCTGAATCATCTGACAGTTTGTTTCTGGCTCCATTAGTCAAAGTAAAATCTGAGGGGAAGTGTTTTCTGGAGGGAAGAGCGAGGCTCGGAGTCGTTTGGAGGATTATCTGATGTGTTTGTTTGTGATAATAAACTGCCACTGCTGCATTCTGCATGGATTTTACACTAAATTCACCTCAGGCAAGAAAAAAAGAGAAGCGTTAATCAATCAGTTGATGACCTGAATCAGGCAGGTGAATGACAGCCAGTCCTAGAAACTCAGAGCTGAGAGTGAAGAACTCGAATGAGCTGGAGAGCAGGGGTTGTTGAACCTCTCACATAAACATTAGGAACCAAAAACTTTACCAGATATCTCAAATTTAATAATTTTTCTCTGTGTTAGCGATATAAAGAAACCACCAATGGCAAACAAACTAAAAAAAAGCCCCATGAAGGACAGGGAGGCAGCAGCTTCTGGCTCATGGCTGTTATCTTTCATTAGTATCAGCAATGAAAGAGACGTTTTTATAACTCTGTTGTACCTTTTTTCCTTCAGGGAAAGTAAAACGTGTTCCATCAAATTGGATCTACTGCAGGTAATTTTCAGTTAGATTTTATTTGCTCCATCCACTGACCCGAGGCCCTTTACAGTGAGATTGATTTAAAATGAGGAAGGCACTGGTTTCTGTGAGCTGCTGCAGGTCTGCAGAGGATCTCTGCTGAATCCTGCTGGTTTAGCTTGTGTTTATACAAGCTTTGATTGAAAGGGACTTCTGTGGAAAACTCTGAATGCATTTGTTGCAACTATAAATGTTATAAAATGAAAAACATTCATAATTTTACTGGTTTGGTTTAAGAAGAAAAAAGAAAAAACTTTATTACTTTTACCAGTTAATTAGGACCCCCGCACACGAATCGGGGGTCATATTGTTTTCATACTTTTTATTTATTTATTTTATTTTTCAAGATTTTTGGTCAACTGTAGCACAAACACAGCTGCACTGATCAACGTGAAATTTGTCAGGGATGTAAACGGACCCAGACCCAAAGCAGTGGTTATTCCGTATGTTGCAGGTGTTTCGGAGAAACTGAGACGTTTATTTTCTAAACATGATGTCCCAGTGG